GGAAAATTTCAGATATTTGACCAGGAGAAGTTACAAAGTTCGAACACTACAAATAATTTAACTTCAGTGGATTCTCATCGGACATTAGTATTTTTACGAAAACATTACATAACGTCACGGTGGAAAACTCGGCTTGTCTGGCTGGTAAGTAATGAAGAACAAAGCTAGCTAACTCCCTGATAAGTGAATTATACCTACGCCAACTCGTAATCAACTCGCTCATCATGAACCCTCGATAAGATATCGAAGAAGTTCCAGACTAGAAAGAAGACTTTATATTGCTTGTAAGTTTGTGAAACTTTTGTTTATAAATCATTGTTTGTAATAACTATTTGTAATAACTGTTAATGTAAATTGTATTGTTGTGTGTATATGAAAACGTATTTGTGTTAAAAAAAGAAAACTGTGTGTATCAATGTTGTTGGCAAATATCATAAACTGACTATATATCGGCTTTTACTGAACTGCTAAATCGAAAGTACAATTTAACTACTAAATTTAAATTTATCAGTTAACTCAATTTCAAATTATTATAAATTCTAATACGTAACACAGTCTATAAACACACGTACACACCAAGGTTAATGTGTGACACACTGTGTCTTACAATTATTACCCCATTACATTTCTATGGAAGATCGTCACTACGTCGGTTTTTCAGGTAAACTATGATTTTGCCCCTGTTGATTTCATTAATAGACACACAGTTCTGAATATTAATGAAGCATCTTTGAAACTTTTCTACATTAGCTATATTTTAAGAAAAATACTTTTTGTATACTCAAATCTAATACGATACTGAGATCTTGTGTCACCGCCGAAAACACCACTAACAGCGAGGGTATATAAATGAAGAAACAATGTATTATAATGTTTATAAGAAGTTTATTTAATGAGATATATTCGTTACCTGGTTGGTTTGTATTTTTAAGTAGGTAGGTTGCTCTGTTCGGAAATTAATATTAACTACAAACCAAACAGCCAAATGTGAGATACTGCTTGTAAAATGTATTGAGAGTTAAAGACCAATGTTTCAGGTTCTGTGCTGCCTTAGGAACAACTTCCTCCATTAATGTTACAGGTTCTGTGCTACCTTAGGAACTACTTCCTCCATCAATGTTCCGAGTTCTGTGCTACCTTAGGAACTACTTCCTCCATCAATGTTCTATGTTATGTGCTACCTCAGGAACTACTTCCTCCATCAATGTTCCAAGTTCTGTACTACCTTAGGAACTACTTCCTCCATCAATGTTTCAGGTTCTGTGCTACCTCAGGAACTACTTCCTCCATCAATGTTCCAAGTTCTGTGCTACCTTTGGAACTACTTCCTCCATCGTAGATCGCGCTCATTCTGATGGGCATGTATTTCATGCACTGTTGCCTTAACACCGCAATTACCATTGTAACAAGCTTCAGCGAAGAATAACGAAGTGAATTTTAGACCACGCATTTACACAAACTTTCATATACTCTCCACCGTACGTGGACGTTGGTTTCCAAGACAACGTTTAAGAAAGTGAAATGGCACCAAAGTCCATTGAAGCTGCCTCAAGATACTTGACAGTACGTGACCATCTTCTTGTGAAAATCACTGTTAGTTTCGAGGTGTGGCTGGAAGCTTGTGAACATTCATCAACTTCAAATCTGTGTTTATTACCATGGATTTTTTTTTCGGTGGAAGGGTTTCCTGTGTTAAACATTAGCCTTTACTTCGCTGATACAAGTATTGCTCCGGAATGAATTGTAATTTAGGGGCCAAGTTTTGATCTAAACGCTTTGCAATGCGAGTTTATTAACTTCCATGTTGTGTCGCCTAGCTCTACGCAGTCAGTATAGGCCATGTCCAGCTACTTATAAATATACACCTATTTTTGTCACCACCCTCCCAAAAAAAAAGTTAAGTAAATAGTTTAACGAGCTTCGTAACATCATGGAAATCTTTCACAAGAAACATAAATAAAATAGTCTTTATCTCTTAAAAATAACGGAATTACTGTTCATATGATATATCATAAAAAAGCGCACAAAATGTCCCCATTACTGTGAATACAAATTAACAAACATGTCCTATTCAAAATTTAACTGTTAAGAATAAGGTGCATTATAGTTGTTTTTTAACATGACAAACTTATACAAACTCGACGTTTAAAAACAAATCTAGAATACAAGTTACCAACCCAATTTCGTAAGAATCTTTTTCCTCCCTTGTAATGAGGAAATGCTTCCGAAATATTTCTAGTTTCGTATATTGTTATTTTATATTTTTTCGTTTTTTACTCGATTCCTTAGCTATTTTTACCCCACTTTAATTGTATCCCATTTTCCTTCTTTTACTATAACTGTGTTACAAGTTTATTCTTGGTTTGGTTACATTAATTACTGATAGTTTCCAACCACACGGCTACGAACTGATAACAAAAACCAAATATTATGGAATCTTTGTATTTTTTTTTTTTTGGCTTCCTACTGACTTTGAAATTAATCTAAGTGTACTGGCCACTTACCTTTTTAATGTCTTCTAACGTGTGAATCTCGGGCGATAGGCCACCGTGAACACAAAGGAACTGTTGGTTCATGAGTGCCGCTAAAGGCAAACAGTCAAAAGCCGCCATACAAGCATCGTATACTCTTTCGGAGTATTTGATTTTGCCTGTGAAATAAATAACGTCTTCTTAATAACGAAGAATGAATGCAATAGAAACATTACTGCTATTAGCGATACTCTTTTGATAAGAAAAGTATCAACTCAGATAGACTAATTAGATGGAGTCAAATTCGATGACGAGGAACCCACTTTGAGACTAATAATGGTTGGAGATGGCTTGAATGGGTAATTGTTCTATACTGTATATATATATATCCGTGTCAGTGTAAATTACTTGTACCTGATGATGACAAAACCTTGTCGAAACGTTGTA